GGGGGGCGGTTAGGAAACACCTTCTTTAAAAAAAGACTTCCATGTCCTCCTCCTCCTCCTTCTCCTCTTCATCATCATCATCATCATCGTTCCCTTAGGTCTTTGTTTGTGTGTCGTGGTTGTCTTAATCCTTCATTTCAATGCCTCATCCTCGTCCTATCCTCATCTGTCTCATCCTCAGTATCCTCATAGTCATTTTTCTCATCAGCGGCCTCGAACATGACCCCCTCACCCCGTGCAGATCCAAATAATAATAGCTGCAATAACAACAACCAAAATAACAACGACCACAACAACAGCAACAACTCCAAAGACAACAGCAACAACAAGAACAACAAGAGAAAAAAAAAGGAAAGCATCAAAACATGTACATTGCAGAGTTTATTCAGTAACTAAAAAGTTTTTGTGAACAAGAGCAACCTCTATTTGTGACTTCTTCGTGTAGGAACTCTATTTCTCCTATAACGAAGAACATTCATTGAGTGCTTTACACTATGGTTTCTATTTTGTTACAGTTAGACATGTTGCCTTCCCAGGCAGAATACCCGATTTCGATGGACGAAAATGTGGGGAGAATCTCGATCTTTTCGATGGAACGATGTGTCTCCTCTAATCCCGGGTTTGATCTTGACAGTCACGGTCAAAGTCCACCTAAACGATCTAAATTGTGTCGATGGGGGCATAAAACACCTACATGTAAAGAAAAGGAAAATAAAACTCACAAAATATGCGCCTGTGCTTTTAAATCAGATTCCTCCTGCTAAAAGATAAACAGCAAAACGTATGGTGACCAAGTAGGGGTTGGGTGAATCTACTGTTTGGTCCAACTTTTTTACTCTTCTTATTGTGTTAGTGTTCTTTACTTGAAACATGAAGGCGTTTGTTTGTTTGAGTCAAGAGAAGCACACAGACACAATAGCAGCCATTTGGTGTTTGGTACAAATAAGACTGACAGATAAAAAAGGAGAGTTAAGAAATTAAGCCTACCAGTGTCATCCCCCAACCACCTTACGATTCAGAAATATATATAATATCTTACATTCTGTCATCCTAATCATAAGCCATTCTCCCTCCGTGCTTGTGCTATAGTTCCATCTTTATCCGACCTGTCTTTGTTCATCAAGTCCGAATCTAAGTCCCACTGCCAGGTTCTTTTAGCCCCCCCCCCCCACCTCCCTTATTTTTCCTTGTGATTTGCATCTTAAGGCTTGGTGGGTAATGTTTGCTTACATTTTCTAAAAAAACAACGTTCTTACGTTCTGTGCTTCCAGCAAAAAGTCACAAGGCCCACCAGGCCCCATGGAGGGTGTGAGGTCATCTCGGACAGCGACAATAAACAAATGAACGCGCTCGCTCAGGACTACGGCTACTCCGCTCTAGCTTGTTCAAAGACTTGTCTTCAGCGCAACATTCTCACTAAATGCCACTGCTGCACCCCGGAAGTACCGTGCCCATCTTCCCTCACTACGCTCGTCTTCGGAACCAACCAGTCCGAAGAAACGATGCCGCCAATTTGCGGACGAGAAAGTAATGTCACAATGAACTTTTGCTCGATTCAAGTTAAAGGAAACTTTTTCTCCGATCAGCTAGGTTGTACGGAAATGTGTCCAGAGCTGTGCGAAGAAATGTTCTATGGAACTAACCCATCTTTTGCTGTTTGGCCAGGTAAGGCATATCACAGTACTATCGTGGAGAAACTGAAAATAACCCATGGAGCAGCTTTGACCAAACAAGAGCTCAACAGCATCGTTGAGGACAGTCTTCTCAAAGTGGATATTTTCTACCCGTCCTTCGAATACCAACAATTCACGATTTCGCCGAAATACGACTGGAGCGTTCTGTTGTCCAACATTGGTGGTTCTGTGAGCCTATGGCTTGGATTTTCATTACTGACAGCTTTAGAGTTAGCGGAGCTGATTCTCGATTCGGTGTTATTCGTTTTCAGCAAAGTATTCATGCCCAGAAAATCTCAGATCAACCCCAGATAGTTATCGTTCATTTAGTCACGAAGACGGTGGAGGGAAGAATGCAGCGTCCATACAGATGGTATCCTACTTGACTACAGTGCTGCAGTTAAGACGACTCGATTCTCGGCTGAGAAGTTCTGATCCTGGGCTAGTTTGACATTTTTCCTGGTTCTAGCAAAGCCTTCCCAGAAGTCTAGTGGTTAGGCTATCGGACACATACTCACGAGGTTACGGGTTCTGGGGTTCGAGCCTCGGGCCCGACCTTGCGTCCTTGGAAAAAGGCACTTTACTCGAATATGTCTCTCTTCTCTCGTGTGTAGTAGGATACTCGGAAATAGACAGTAAAGGTCTTGTCAGCAAAGTAGTATTTTAGCGCCTGTTATATGACTGCTTGTACTGTTCGTTTCCCAGGAAGTTGAGATTGTTCCAGAATGCTGCCAGGTCTTTTATGGTAATAATAATACTATAATGGTAATAATAATATTAACAACAATAATAATGATAATAATAATGATAATAATGAATGACATTTA